GTTAGGGGATGAGGTTTATTCTCGAAATTTAGGTTTATGAGAATGCATAAAAGTTATCAAGTGATATTTTTACGATTTAATTATCATAAACCAAGTTATAAAAAGATATTTGATAAATTTTTTATAAAAGAAGAAAATTAAAGATATTGTAAAATTAATAATAAAAGATGTCAGAAATTGATTTCACTTACATTTTTTTGCATGTATCCTTTTCAAAGTAATTTCATATATTATTAAGTTAATTTAACAACTAAAAAAAATTACTTTAATCCTAATTTCTTAAGTAAAAAATTCTAAGTTCCTTAGTAAAAATATCAAATCTTTAGTTAATTAGTTGATTGGACAACTTGCATTAAGATTCGAGGTTTAATTAAAATATTAACTAATAATCTTTATCTTGTTCCTTGTAATAACAAGTGTTATTAGTATATTCTTCGGATTGTAGATTTAAAAGAGTTTTACAATCTTGATTAATTCTATGAAATCATGCAATAAGTAATAAGGCCAAAACAAATATTAAGAGAAGAAAAATAATAAATAATTAAATAAAAATTTTATTGAATAACAACTACCATGAATTATATGGATTCAAAGTCAATTAAGTTAAATTCCATCTAGGAATTAATTAGTCACTCATGACTAATGAGATCCCACAAAGAAACAAGAGGAGACTTTCAAGAACTCCATGATGACTAATTATTCACTCTATTCTTTCAAATCTCTAAAATATAAAAATATGTGAAGTGTTTTTGTAACGCCCGATTCTAACGCCCAATTTATATAATAACTCGAGCTTCAGTTTCTTGTCATAGGAAAATTCTGACGTGGTAACATGAATTGTTTGAAGAAGAGAGAGAGTTGCTTTCTCAAGCAACCGTTCCTTACCAGATTTCAAGCAAATCTTATTAAATATATTTGGGAACGTTTCAAAAATAATAATGATGAAAATTAATTTCGTATAATGTCTATGTATTTACTGTTGCCTTATTTTATTTTTAATATCTACTTATTATGTATTTTTTCTCGTAATTTATTTTCTTTCATTGTAGTGCAATTATCCTTTTTAATAAAAATTTAAAATTGGTAGTATTACTTTTGTTAATCCTTTTATTTCTAATTTTTCATTCTTGTAATTATGAAAATTATGAAATTGGAAATATGGATAACCGTGAGTTGACATTGAAGGAATTGGTTGCACCTAATGTTGTGTATCAATCATGGTGTGTCCAATATCCTAAAAATCAAGTGAATTATGAGCTTAAATATGAATTAATCCATTTGTTGCCCAAGTTTCACGGTCTTGTTGGTCCTGGTAAAACATGAATCTAGAAGGGGGGTTGAATAGTTTATTCACTTAGATGGCTTCCTATGGTCTTTAAAAACTTTTTCTTATTCTCTTCTTTGTTATCCCAATTACAATTAATCAAATTCAAATTAAAAATCAGTAATAAGATACAAAATATCAGTTATAGCATGCATCGGATCAATTACTCATAATCCAAATGGATTTTAGAAATTACCTTTTTTCTTTTATTATTACTAAATTGCATATATGATGAATTGAATATGAAAAACAATTGATAATAGATAAAGAAACATTTTCTTGAAATTCTTTTTTACAAATATCACAAGATGATAACAGAATTATATCAAGAGATGAACGTTAAGAGAGAATTACACAATGATTTATACTAGTTCAACCATACAAGGGCCTACGTCCAGTTGCTGACTTAGCACACCACTAAATCAAGTCATTCCACTATAATATTTTTTACACACACCATATACAAACAATATTATAATCAGAACGAAAATGACACACAATCTTGAATCCACAAGATTTCACAAACAAAGATTCTTGCACCCCCACAAGAACCTACTTGAGAAAAAAAAAACTAGTCTCAAGATTTCTCTTGACTCTTCTAGAGACACCCTATCTCAAAGAGTAACACAGCCTAAAAGCACAAACAAAGATTTAAGGTCAGAGTGAATACACCGGATATGTGTACAATGATCTTGTACAGAGATTAGCTCAAAAAATCCTTGAAATCTTTCAAGAACTCATCTTTTTTAATCAATCTTTAGCATCTGTATTCTTTCTGAATTATTTTTTATATTATCTTGTTCTAAAACATGTTTCAGAGTATTATATGATCTCTTTTTTAAGTTTTTGAAAAGAGTTATATTTATAGTGCAAAGAGGATTTCAACATTTAAAAATTTTGTAACTACTATAATCTATTACCAAATTTTTAAAATTGAAACCACATTGATTTTAGAACAGACACAATCTATTACCAAACATGGTAATCGATTAATCTATGCTTAAGCATAAAACTCAATTTGTACAAAGGTAATCGATTACTAAAATGGTAATCGATTAACCCGATACTAAAAACACTTGTTTCACTCAAAAGTCACCATGGTAATCTATTACCACATATGGTAATTGATTAAAATAGTGAGAACTACAAATTTCAATTCAAATACTAAGTTTCAGTAATCTATTACCTGAAATGGAAATTTATTACCTCATTTAACATTGAACTCTTTTGAATGATTCATGTTTCATTCCCTAATCATGATTCATGACCCACTCAAAACGGTTGTGATCCTTCTCTTTGAACCAATGTCTTGCCTCGTTTAAAGCAATCAAAATGGCTCACTTTAAGTGAGCATCGATAGTTTTTAAGTCTTTTAATAGCTTCTTTCTCCGTGCTTTTCCTTTTCCTCGTGTCTACACACAAAAAAAATAAAAATCAGAATACCTAAAATTTAAAGAATTCTATTTACATAAATAAAATTAATTTTTAATATTTATTTTTTACACGAACAAGACTCAAACATAAAATATGTTCAATAATTATCTAAATTTGTGTGTGTGAGTGAGAGAGACCATTATCATAAAGTAATTTATAATAATATTACAAAAAAAATGCATGATTCAATTTTTATCACAAAAACATTTATACCTTGAAAAAACAATGTCGACAATGTCAAACGCTTGTTATGTGTATAAATCGTATTACATAAATCACAAAAAATAATTGATGGAAAACATAATTTAATACAGTATTCTTTTTCTATTTAATATGGGGAGTAAAATTGTGGTATAATCTTATTTTTTTTATATAGAAAAAAGAAAAGAGAGAAAAAAAATAGATGTAAAAGGATTTTTTAAAAATAATGAAGATATGATGTAATAATAGAGTTTAGAGAATGATGAAGATGAATGTGTAAAAAAACAAAAAGGTTTAAATAATAATGCAGAAGAGGTGGTGGAGGAAAGAAAAGAAAAAATAAGAAAGAGATATCAACAAAGAATGACTAGAAATAAATAAAGTAGTGGAAGAAAAGAGGAGTGGAGAAAAAGAGAGGTTAAAAAAAATATTTTGGAAACCTATTTATTTAAAAAGGAGAATAAATTAGAAAGTATAAGAGATTTTTTTTATAAAAAAAAAAAAAAAAAAAAAAAAAAAAAAAAAAAAAAAAAAAAAAAAAAAAAAAAAAGAAGAAGAAGATGTATTTCTTAATAAGAGAAGTGTAAATAACATTTACAAAAATAAAATGAGGTTGATGGCAACTTAGGCTAATCTTTGATACGTAATACAAGAAATGTGCAGTCATTTAAACTTGATCCACAAATAACCTAGCCCACTAATTTCAAACTAACCCAAATCAATTCATCTCTTCTAACGCATTTAATCAATTCATTAAACCTAACACTCATATATTTAATTAATTTATTCTTATACTCTTAATCTAATCCATTTAGATATCAAATAACTAGGTAAATGCGAGTACTCTTGCTACTCTTAGAACTTAGTTTACCATTTTTACTCTTAGTTTTTGGTTTTCATATCTGTACCCAAAAAAAAAAACTAATTAAATTATTTCAATTTATTATCCACACATGCAGCTCATACAACAATTTTTAACTTTTTTATCAAACAAAAAATTAATATTTAATATTTTCAAATTTTATTATAATTTATTTTACTTATTAAATTCATAATATTTTTAAAAATAATTAATATAACCCTATTATTAAGCTTAGTCAAATGTAAACGCAACACAATTATTAAAAATATATAACAACTAGCAATATATAAATACCAATTTATTTATTATTTTGCGATTACAAAAAATAGGAAAAACAGATTCCAAATCACGTGCATTTGTTATGTTCATTTGTTCTTTTAGAATTTAAAGAAAGGTCATAAATTCAAACAATTTTTTAGACAAGTGCTATCATGAATTTGGGCATTTATGCACATAAATTAAGAAAGTAAAATTCTTCTAAAGATATGTTTCTTAAAATGATCCCACAATTAATATATAATTTATAACCTACTATATATAAATATATGATACATATGAAAGATTTTACTCTAATGACAACTGTTAAAATGCAATTAAAATTTTTAAAAAATACATCTATAAAATTAAAATATATGCATGAAATTAAATGATGAGAATAAGATATTATATATATATATATATATATATAAAGTAATTTACTAATACACAATGAAATTTTACAAAAATAAATATCATTGTACGTCTGGGAACTCTATATAATTCCTGTGTGGAATGACATTCAAAGTGACATTATGTGCAAAACTGTAGTCTAATTATGCATGTATGAAATTTAAGGATGAAAATTTACTGTCATTTTTACACTCACCTCTCAAGAAATTAGTCCAAACATAATATACCTTTTACAATTTAAATATTATTAATTTGCCAGATTCTCTGTATCCTTCATGTATAGAATTACATTTAATGTGACATTACAACATGCAAAACAGAATACAAGCAACAAATGGTTACTGAAAAATAAAACCACCAATGTGTCAAATTAATTAGTCTATATAAAGAGACCTATGGTAGAGGTAAGAAATCACAAGCAACTCTTTTCACTTCTCATTTAAATTTTTTTGTCTCCCTTTTCTTTTCACCTTCATTTCTTTTTGTTTCTCCATTTTTCTTTTCACCATCATGGCCAGGAAGAAGGTGAAACTGGCGTTCATAGCCAATGATTCCGAAAGGAAGATATCATACAGGAAGAGGAAGAAGTCAGTGCTGAAGAAAACTGAAGAAATCAGCACCATTTGTGGTGTTGAAGCATGTGCTATAGTTTACAATAGTTCCTATGATCCCGAGCCACAGGTTTGGCCATCCGAATCAGGTGTCCAACAAGTGCTGAGAAAGTTCAGGAGTTTGCCTGAATGGGAGCAGATGCGGAACATGGTGCAACAAGAAAACTTCATTAGACAAAGTATTCATAAACAAAGAGAGAAGGTTAAAAAGCTTGCGAAGGACAACAAACAAAAGGAGATGACCATGTTAATGTATCAGTGCCTCGATGCAGGAAGGGTTGAGCTTAATAACAACGTGAACGTGGCTGACTTGAAGGATCTTTCATCTGTCATTGAACAGAAGCTACAAAGCATTACCACAAAGTTGGAAATGTTGAATGTTAATGAGATAACATCGTACCAACCCCAAATGCAAGAACCAGCACACCAGCACCAGATGCAAATGCAAACACCAGTGCCATATCAGCCCCAGATTGGAACACCAGCATACCAACAACAAATACAAATGCAAATACCACAAAACCAACAACAAATACAAATGCAAATACCACAAAACCATCAACAAATACAGATGCAAATACCCGCATACCAACCCCAACCCCAGATGCAAATTCAAACACAAGCATACCAGTCTCAAATTGAAACACCAACATATCAGCAACAGATGCAGATGCTGCAAACACCGGCATACCAACCCGAGGTACAGAGGCAAACAACAACATATGTACCCCAGAATGAAGGACCATCAAACCAACCCCAGATGCAAACACGTGCATTGGCAGTAGAGCCCGAAGAAATGACTTTGTTGAATATGAACACTAACCCTATGCAAAGCCAGTGGTTTATGGACACCTTTCTTATTGGTAATGGGGATGAGACAATGTTTCCTCCATTTGGGGATGATCTCCCATTCTGAAGTGCATTTTTGCTTAACTTTCTACCTTGAAAAAGCATGTGCTTGTAATTAGAAGTCCTTTTCAGATATGATTGAGTTCAGTTATCTTTTTACTTTTTACTTTTTTTGTGCGCGTCATGTTTATAAAGTGTGATTGCTATGCTTGTGGTCATTGTAACTGTTGTGATGTAGATCGTAGTGGATTCGTGGTGAAATTATTTCATATATACATCAAATATAAATAAATAATTCTATAATAATAAGATTTAATCATTTTTTTTTTTGAATTTTTCACTTTAAATTTATTTTTCTCTTCCTAAAATTCTTCATACACGTCTCAGTGCGTGTTTGGTTTTAAGTTACAAACGTAAGTTTTTTTTCTCTCTCCACATTTAAGCTTGAATTTACGTGGAAGTTTAAATTTTTTACTTCATGTAAACGTGAATTTTCACGTCGAGAATCCGAAGCAAACACACGCTCATTCTCTCAACATTCTAATCAATTATTATTAGTTGTCTTCCTGTCTCTTTTAATATTCTATGTGACCAAACTAATAAGTTTAAAAGATTAAAACTTAAATTTATGTATATTTCTTTAAAAAAAAGTGAAATAAGATGATATTATAAATTTATTATAATTATATTGTGGTTGAATTGCATATTTTGAAAACTACACTATAATTGCAAATCTTGCAATTATAGGAAACACCACAACAATAATATGTATTGCAGACCCCAATTTAAAACCGAATTGTGTGTTAATGAGAAGACACAAAAATAAATTATTCACGTGGACTTATGACTGCACACAATTAAGCTTTTTGTAATGTAGTTACATTGATCACATGCATTTAGTTTATTCATTTAATCTTTTCTAAATTATAAAACCTCATAAATTCATGCATATATTTATAAATTCATTATCTATACTAATATATAAAGAAATAGCTCTTTTACTAATTATTTAGATCTTTTATTATTAAAAAAATTAAAAATTAATATTTTTATTAAAATCAAGATTTGAACTCAAAATCTTAAAATTTAAGAACAAATCTCAATATTAGTTGAACTAACATGTTTTTATTATTTAATTTTATATTTATTTATTTTTTAATAAAAATATAAAATATCTCAATCTCACTGTATTAAACAAAAAAAAATGTTTGTAAAAATGTGATTCGTGAAATGACCAAAATTAATATATCATTTAGTTACTTAATAAAAATATGATGTGAAGAATCTTACACTCTTATTTTTTTTTTTTTTATCAACCAACAAATATTTGTATTTATATATAGAAATACAAGAGTTACCAAAACTCATATACATAAGATAAATAGAATATTTTTTTGTTGTGACTGGACAATGATAAAAATTTTATTCAATTTTAAAATCTATCTATTTATGCATAAAAATTATTGACAAGAATAAGATATTTTAAATATATTTAACTACAACCATTCACGTACTAACACAATCAAGTAATTTATTAATTCAAACATAATGTAAATTTTTGAACTAAAATGTCCTTATAGTTTCAGATTCTTTATTCTCCACGTATGGAATAACATTTAAATGTTCAAAACCAGTCATCACTTCAAAATGAGCACTGTTATTAAATATTAGAACAATCTATCTATTTATGCATGAAAGTCAATGATGAGAAGATGAATTTTGTATATGTATAATATTCCTTGTAATTATTCAATCATTAATTTACTAAATCATGTGCACAATGAAATTTTTACTCTTTATCATTGGGGGTGTCAGATTCTCTACATTCTTATGTATGGAATGGCATTTAAAGTGACATTTGAATGTGGAAAACCAGTTATCACTTATACACAAAACATAATACCATCAACAAAGGTTCACTGGAAAATCAAACCACTCATATATCGAATTGGTCTATATAAAGAGATCGTTGGTGGCACTAGAACCACAAGCAAAGCAGCATCTCTTCTCAATTTTCTTCCTGTACTTTCTCCTCTTCTCAATTTTGTTTTTGTTTCTCCTCTTCTCTTTTCTGGTCACTAACATGCCTAGGTCAAAGGTGAAACTCGCGTTCATAGTCAATAATTCTACAAGGAGGGCAGCATACAGGAAAAGGAAGAAGGGAATGCTGAAGAAGATTGATGAACTCAGCACCCTTTGTGGCATTGAAGCATGTGCTATAATTTATAGTTCCTATGATCCTGAACCAGTGGCTTGGCCATCTGAACGGGGTGTCCATAAGGTGTTGGGAAGGTTAAAGAATATGTCTGAATCGGATCAGAATAAAAAAATGGTGAATCAAAAGAGTTTGATTACAAAGAAGATTCAAAAGTGTCAAGAACAGTTGGATAAACTTGTGAAGGAAAACAAAAAGAAGGAAATGACCATGTTTATGATTCATTGCCTTAATGCTGGGACGGTTCTACCTGATAGCATAAAGTTTGATATGAATAATAGTCATGGGTTGGATATGGTTGCTAATGCCATGCAATGGCAGCTATTTAAGGATTGGCTTAATGATGATGATGAGACAGTAGTGCCTCCATCATTTGGAGATGCTAATTAATCTCAAATTCCAAACTGAATTTAGGCTTAATTTGTTACCTTGAAAAAGGCATGTGCTTGTTGGTCCTTTGGGGATCATGTTTCAGCTTTAATAGTCTAAAATTTGACATTTTACTGTCCTTATGTGTCAATTTGAAGATACAATGATAAGTCATTACACTCTAATCTTCACATGTTTATTTTCTATATCATTACTGTGTGTGATTTACCTCATGTGGTGTAGGGATATCAATAACAGTTATTTCTTTCATTGTCTATTATTTTATTGAAAATAGCACGAGTAATCAACTTATTAGATAATAACAAGGTTTTGTATAAATTGAAGTCAAACTTCTGATAGTGTTCCAGATTGCAGTTGTCAAAATTCAATTATAACTAGTTACAAGAAATGGAGCTAATACAGTTTCAATGCAGTAAAAAAACATTTCCAGTAATATGATATACACGTTGTGGTGAGATTTTTATCAAGAACAACAGTTAAGAACCTTCTTAGTACATAAGAGATTGAATACATGCATGTACGTGTGGTGCCGCTTATGCAATTACCAATCTGCACGCGATGTTCTCTATAATAGGGTGGCAGAAAATGTAACCTGAAAGTAAATGTTGGCATATTGCAATACATCTATGACAACAAGCTAACAAGGCTAAAAAGCACCCCCAACAATAATTAGGAATTTCTTAAGCATTCTAAAGGATGATTGCACCGATTAACAATAAAATGTCACTAGTAAAAGGCCCCTGAATCGAAACCAAATCCATGTTAAGCATTTTATCTGCCACAAGACACCCTCTGCATGATTAAAAATTACATTGTTTCTAAGAAGTCGCAATCTCTAACATGTGGCATGCCAGAAAACATGACGAAAGCGCTGCAAATACTTTCTGCTAAAAAATCAACATGCTTAGTGTAGTGCTGATGAAGATGATTGATTATATTGAACACCATAGAAAGCCCAACCACTTATATAAGCTATACCATACCTGATTAGAAAATTGGCATAATAAAAAAAGATGTTCAACATACTCACTAGAGTGAGAGCACAACACAACCTTCTGAATCAGTAGCTACTCCTCTTTGAATTAATACAATACTTTGGTTGGCAACCAAACATGGAGAAGTTTCGAAAAACAAGGCTAATATAATTTGGATGGTACAACACCTTTTCAAAAATGCTTAAACGGATTTTCCATTCACCGAGTAAACAACATGTTCAGAGCACAAGGCATTATATGCAGGTGCCACAGAAAAATCGCACACCACCACTACCAGATCATTTCCATGAGTCCACTGCTTGCTGTTCCAAAACAAGGTTTGACAGCATTATTCTCGATTGATCCACCGACTCATCCTCCGAGCTAAATAAATTATTCGCCTTGAAATTTCATGAATGGGGGACAAACAGTAGACAAAGATCAGTTCATTATATATAAATATTTTAAAACATAAAAGTTTATTCTAATAAAATGTACACCTAGTGAGACATAGCACACCTTGTGAGAGAATCCATAGGGAGTTTTGCTAGCGTAGTGAGCTATGGTCATCCAACCAAAGGACCCATAGAGGATTAAGCATGCCCAACAAGCCATAGTCACCAAACAATGAATTCCAATGGAGTTTATTTGCCTAGCGAGCTAGAGTCCACCCGAGGAAAGCAACAACGATTTTCCTTTGCTAAGCAAGAATAGCCCGTCGAGTGACGAGTTTTAAAGAGTCTTGGTTGCCCAACGAGACTACTTCTTGCCTAGTGAGACCCATGTTTTGTGAATTTTGTTATATTCTTTTGCTTTTATCAGTGAGTTATTGATAGTTGAACCTATAGTGTGTTTCCTTATGATGAATAAATCATTTTGTATAATGTTGATTATATATATATATATATATATATATATATGAGGAGGGATCTTTTTATTCCAGGAGTAAGTCTATATAGACTTACTCCGTTCAATAACTCATGTTTTACATTAAATTTCAATGATTCAACCGTTCAATTTAAAGTTCTTAATGCATAAATTAAATCTGCAAATTTTTAAAAAATTTAAAAATCATTTGATACTTCATTTTATTAATTCAAATTGACAGATAATCATAAAATTATTTTATATATTGATTCGAATTATGAAACGAAGTATCAAATAATTTTCAAATTTTTTAAAAATTTTCATATTTGATCTATACATTAAGAACTTTAAATTGAATGGTTGGATCGTTGAAATTTGATGTAGAACATGAGTTATTGAACGGAATAAGTCTAAGTAGACTTACTTTTGGAGTAAAAGGATCTCTCCTCTATATATATATATATATATATGTATATATATATATGTTTGTGTGTGTGTGTGTGTGTTGAATGGAAGTATGTTTCCAAGTGTTGCTTTGTAGTATTGTTGAATGAGATGTAGTTGAATAAGTTATAATTAAAGTTGAACTCATGTTGTGTTGATGAATGCATGATGTATGTTGTTGAGTTGTAAAGTTGAATTAAGGACTAGATAGGAATGTGTTGTTTATAAGTTGAGAGATCTCATTGTGAGGATTTGTGTTGTAGTGCTCTACAAGCCCAACAAGATGAAAACCCTTCAAAAAAGAGTTGACTCCTAAAGTGGAAAGTTATTTTTTAAAAGTTATCTTCTCTAGGTTCTTAGTTTATATAGTATGGGCCGGGGATTAGGTTGAACATATACTACTCATGAAGTGATCAATAAAGTATAACATAAGGTTAATGACTAAAGTTCCTAACTAAGTGTTGGAAAAAAGTGTGTAGTGTTTAAAGAGTAATTGGCAAATTAATTTCATATAAACTTAGTTAATGCATACTAATGTCATGGTAGACAAAATATCCAAGTTTTTCTATCCCTAACAATATATAGTACCGAGTTTTCATAGTTTATGTAGCAACATCTAAGAAATCAAAATAATTGTTGAATTGGCATTGGAATGTCAGACATTGTGTTGACTTAACCCAAAGATGAAGGGCCAAACATTGTGATTCAATATAGTCAAGTTACTTAAGCTACTCACTTGGGTTGTAAGAGATCTCTTAATTAAAATGAATGACAACGTATGAAGTTGTTAAGTTGTATGTTGTGAAATTGTTAAATGTTATGTTATGTTGTTAAGTTGTTACTGAGATGTAAAGTTGATGAGTTGTATAATATGTTGTGAAGTTGCTTTTTGAGTTGATTATCTATGTTGTTTGAAGTTGAGTTGTTGATGTTGTTGCTTAGTTGAAGTTGATGATGATTATATAGTTAGCTTATTGCTTTCTATCTTATGTATTGAATCTATTTACACAAGTTTACACTTACTTTTTCATGTGTTGGACTATGATGATCATACTTGGTATGAGAGCAACCTATGATTAGGCTAGAGGGCAAGCACGTTGGTTGGCCATCCAGGAGATAGTGTTTTATGGAGGTTGTTCTAATACAACTATGTATATAGATGCTCGACTGACACTTAGAATTTTATGCTTTCTAGTACTATAATGTTTGTGTGTGTGTGTGTGCGTGTGTGTATGTATATGTATGTATAGAGATTCTTGTAACCCTATAAGGTCTTTATGTAATACCCATTTTTTTTATTATTAATTATCAATGGCAGAATTTTCCTGCAAAAAATTATTTGTAGAAATTTTTTGCGAATTTTCCTGCAAAAAAATATTCGCAGAATTTTTTTGCGAATTTTCCTGCAAAAAATAATTTACAGGTATTTCTTACAAATTTTGCTACAATTTTAATAATCATGGGAAAAAAATTTCCATGGTAAAAATTTGCAGAAAATATTGTAAGAATTTTATTTTGTTTCTTGCAGATTTTCTTGCAAAAATAAATTCGCAAGTAATGTTTACTAAATGGTAGAAAAATTTTGCAGGTAACTTTTCCTGCGGATTTTCCTGCAAATTTTAATTCGCAGGAAAAATAAAAAAAA